TTTCCCGAGAACGATATCGAGTCTCGACTACTCGTTTAATATTACGTGAATTTATTATACGTGTTCGTTGAATTATTATACGTGTTCGAATTGTTCGTTGTGTATTTATATTCATTATTTTATGTGAAATTCGTCGATTCGTGCGAATCGAGCGAGAACCGAATATAAGTGAGTAGTTGCTGTGGATTTAGGAACTTAGGATTTTTACGAACACAAAGACGCTGACCTTGTGTTGATTGGGCTTGTAAATTGATAGTTATGATTTTTCGAAAGTTGTAATTGTTGTTTCGATTGTAAAATTAACCATAAATTGAATACTGGTCGGATATTCGTCAAATTTTTGGTGCAGCTGGTTTTGATAAATATGTAGCTTGTGTAAAATTTTCATGATTTTTGAAGGTCTGGAGCTATTTTTAAAAATTAATTTAATTTCTGTTCAGTTTTTTGTAAAATGCATAAATAATTTTGTGGTGCTCTATTTTGGCTTCATTTCGAGTATGGCATGTCTCTGTTATTTTTGTGTTTTGTAAACTTTTTAGAATTTTTGAACTAGGTTTGACAGGTTTAATAATTTATTTTGTGTCTCAGCCCGAATTTGTTTTAATTATAATAAATTGTTCTGAAGCTGAAAAATTCTGAAAATTTGTGGAGGTGCTGCTTATGTGATGTTTAGTATGCTGTAAAGAGTTTGGAATTTTTAGAGTTCAATTAGGTTTAGTTTTGATATAAATTCGATAATTGGCTGAATGTTGTTTTAATTTTATAAATTTATATACTGAGTGTTAAAGGCTGGTATTTTTATGTATTGCTGCTCATATACTGTAGTATTTTTGATAAAAATTTCATAGCCTGAATCGTCCATTATCATGTGTGTTTAATTTAAACTCGCTTTTGCTGAAAAACTTGTATGAATTTTGTAAAATTATGTACAATGAGTTGGAAGCTGAAACTTGGTGACTTTTCTTAGAACTGGGATATGAAATTTATGTAAAATTTTCAGAGCCTAACTCGTTGAATTGATAGGCCTTCTAATTCAAGTGTGAATTTTGGGAAATTATTTTCTATATTGAAATGTGTTAAGTGTTGTTGACCAAAAGTGCCATGTGTTTACTTGTGGCTCGTTTATTTGTCTTTCACTTGCATTTATGTGAACTTGAATATGTGGTTTGATCGAGTCTAAGTCCTAGAGTTCCCATATCCACAGAACTTCACGAACCACTTGGTCGAACCATGTTTGGGTAAGTCAATTTGTGAATTTTCTACATAGGTCTAGATTAAAGTGTTGATTTTAGTATTTGGACTTAATGTAGGTGTCTAGAGGTGTTGACCTCGCCTCATTTCGAGATTTGTGACTTTGAACTGTTGTTGCTATCAGGTGGATACATTTGGGTTGTATCCATAATTATCGCACTTATTATTTCGTGTAATGTTTCTTTTGAAAATTTTTGTATGCATGAGAACTCTAGTCTAAGTGTCCCGAACGTTAGTGCCTTTGATGAATGCGACAGCAGTAGGAGGTCGCCTGCCCGTTGTATCCGGGAGGGACGCCCCATGCCGTCGTATCCAGAAGGGGAAAAACATCTCTGCTGTCTCCTGGAAATGATCCTACGAACCGTTGTACCCGGGGGTGGGAAGGTTTCCAGTTACAGCCATGCCGTTGTATCCGGAAGGTTGTTATATGTACATAGGAGGTTTGCGATAGGGCCGAGTAGGGGGTTTAGGCTATGAATTCTATGCATACGGATACTGTTACTGTTTACCGTGATACTGCTTTTAAAATAATTATACGGGATAACTGTGCGATAATAGTGTGCTAGTTGGTTGCTCACCCCATTATTTTCTTTGTTGTCTTCTCTCTTCCTTTGTTCTAGGTTGAGACGAGCTGGAGGCGGTGGCGTAGGACGAGCGAGATGGTGGTCATTATGTGTTGAAATCCTATGCTTCTGCATGAACTTGTTATTTATTCATTTGCTATCGTACTTTGGATTATTTATATCTTCCTTTTCGAACTATGTTGAATTTCGTTTGAAACTTAATTTCATGCTAGTCGTTTGGGGAATGATTTAGAAATTTATGATTTATGAGATTGTCATTTTGATAGCTCGAACATGTGTAGGTTCATTGGATTGATTGATTGAGTGTGTTTGTTTGATGTTGTTAGTGAGTAGCGCCTGTTTTTCGATTTTGTCGTTCATTTTCCCCCGTTTTAGGTCTTTTCGGTTGTTTTTAGTCATGTTTGTAGTTTATTTTGTGTTTTTCTCTATTTTGGTCTTCTATGTGTTTTTCGTGTGTTTTTCTGATTTTTCTTCTTGTTTTTGGTGACAGGTCGGAAGTCCCGTGAGGAATCAATTTAGCCCGAACATCGACTGGGCAATCATGGTTGCGTAAAAGGGTTCGTTGGCGACATATAGGAAGAAGCGAAGCTCAATTTCGAGCTTGGACGAGTCCAAACGGGCCCAAAACGCGAAGTCGTGCGAAGTCGCATAAAGTCTTTGGAGTCTTGGTCATAAGCTTTGAGAGAATTGGGTTTCAAGAATAATTTGGCCATTCAACCATCATTGAATAGAGGGGTTCGTTAGCGACACGTAAGGAAAAACGAAACTCAATTCCGAGTTCGGACGAGCCCAAACGAGCCCGAAACGCAAGTCACGCAGCCTAGCCCCACCTAGCGGCGCTAGGGGTACTAGCGGGCTTCTGAAGTTCCTTGTTGACCCTAGCGGTGCTAAGGCCCCCTAATGGCGCTAGGCACCCCCTAGCGGCGCTAGGACCTGTTTCAACCCCCAGACTTGTATAAATAAGCTCAAAACTCGTTTTTCTTCATCATCCCCCTCCTAGGGACGAAACCCTACCCCAAAATCGCCCCAGCTACTCCTTCTTCTTCTTTCTTTTTTCTTCCCTTCCTTTTTCTTCATCTTTTCTTCTTCTCTTCACCTCTCTTCTCCATTTTCTTCTTTTCTTCTTCTTCTTCTCTTCTTCTCTTTTTCTCTTCTTTGTTCTTTTCTTCTCCAATTTTCTTTCTTTTTTTCATTCTTTTACATTTTAGGGATTAAGCTTGTATTTTGAATTCAACACTTGGATTAAGATTAATTGTAAGTTTTTCTTCTTGTTTAATTCATGAAAATGGTTGAATTGGGAGAAATCATTGATCGTGTTGAATTTATTTTGCGTAGCTAATTCCGATTGCTAGGGATAGGGGATGATTGTTCTTGTTTAATTTGTAATTGTTGGGCTTTAATTTGATCATTCTTGTGCGAGTTGATTATGATAGGAATTGATGAATTCTTTCTTGATATTTGATAATTTGATATAGTCTAAGAGTGACACTTAGGTTACTTTATTGAAATAATCGAAGCGTGACACTTCAATTTTGCGATTGAAACGATTGAATATTGACTTGTTGAGTTAGGGTTTGTTGATTCTACATGATTAGTTAAATAAAAACCTTCTAATCTAATTAGCGACTTTTAGAATCGATAGGGGAGAAGTCGTAGAACTAGGCCCGGAGGTAGACATGTTCGGAAATGTATTGTCTATAGGTTTCAGATTGAAGTACACGCTTGTCGATGTCCCTTCCCATGTTACGAAGAGTTATTGGGATTGGATTATTGGCCGGTGTTATATGCTTGAACTTGCTCGTCTATGTTCAATCCCATGTTACGAAGAGTTATTGGGAGCGAACCGCTAGATGTTAAAGCGAGAGCATCAATCTTGAACCGAACGATTAATTGTCCGGCTTTATGTTTCGAACTTGAATTAATTATCCCCGATTTCCTAGCTTCTTTATCTTTGTGTCGTTTATATTTTTAGGTAGATTATTGTTTTATGTTATTTCTTAGTTGATAATTTTCTGACCCTATCGTGATCAGAATGTTTAGGATTTATTTTCCTTTTGTGTGTTATCAACACCATTTCTAAATTCCGAACCGCCTTCCTCGAGAGATCGACCCGGGGAACGAATCATTCGATTCGGTACTCAGTAATTTAATAACAATTTGTGCTACAACATATGTACTGCATATATATGTCTGTTTAAAATCATACGGGTTAAGAGAACGCGGCCTAGTTTGATTACGACGATCAGTATAAAATGAACTTCTCCTCTCTGGGATCTTGTTCAATATATAAATGTACTAGTGCAACTAATCAGTCAAGACCAACTGTATTGTTGACACTACAACCATTCGGATGGGGTGTTCATTTTTATCTAGGTTGTGAACCACAATTCATGTTTCGCAAATAACTGATAGAATGATCTTTTGTTCGCCCGATGACGACCCATTTTATCTAAGTGCAAAACAACAAAACATAGAACTTGTTTAATTAAAAGCGATTCTCATTCATAAAGGGTAAAAGTGTAATATCATGCTAAGCTTTCAGTATATAACACTAAAACGATCAACGGCCGCCGGCCGACGATCAATGCCGGTCAACTCCTGACTGTCGGCGGTCAACGGTCAGTCAAAGAGTTAATTATTATTTAAATAATTTTAATATATTAATAATTATTTTTATTATTTAATTACTATATATTTTAATTGATTAATATGAGTCCTTGATCTAGACAAAATGTTAAGATTGAGTCTTACGTACTCATTTTAAGGAGAGGTCTCATTGGATCCACCCCCTATATATATGTGTGTGTACACAGACACGCACACACACACACAAACACACACACACACATACATATATATATATATATATATATATATATATATATATATATATAGGTAAGGGATCATCATATGAGAAAGAGGGATAATGAAAGAAATAAGAATAAGTTTGAGCCATTGGATCCATTATATTACTGGTTAAGATGAAGTCAAAATGAATAATTCTTGTCAAACTCACGATGGCAGCTTTGTAATTATGTAGTAATTTTTGGTCTATTGGTATACTTTAAGGGTATTATTGTAATTTTGTTTCACCCACTAACCATCCTATTTCTCTCACTGAGGCCCACCACACCATCTTTCACTTTCTCCCTCTTACATTCACAGACACACACATACATTTACACGCACATCACACATTCTGACCACGGGTATTCATCAACCACCGGTTATTTGCCGACCACCATAACCACCCCCACATCCCAGCTCATCGTCGTCGTCACACCCAGCACCAAAAATTACACACAGAAATCCACACATTCGGAACACACACACACGCACCACAACAAACCCCCAACCCATACACCGACAGCTATCCGGCCACCCACCCACCGCCGACACGAGCACTGCGGATAAAGTCATTTTCGACGCCAGCTCCGACGAAGCCCTGTCGTTACAGTCTCTTCATTACTAGGTCTATGGTGGTCGTCGTCGGGATGGACACCGTCCGGGTTCGCGAAATTCGGTTTCTACCCACCGGACACCGTCGATATGGACGTAGGAGTCTTGAGGCGTCCAAAGATGAACCACCGTAGAGTAAGCTCTGCAGAGCCACTGTTTGCGAAGTCCGGCTTCGATTCCGTCACAAATCTCACCACAGCAGCCGACGGTGAAAGACTCCGTCATATCCCAGCGTGGCGGCAGCCGAGAACTCCGATTATTCAGACACCGCGAGTTTACGCGGAGAAGACAAGCGATCTGGTGTGGTGGAGGTGCTAATTGATTTTAGGGCTTTCCAAATGGGAATTAGATAATCCCTAGGGCATTTTTGCAATTTCTAAATTTTTAATACATGTATAATCCTTATGGCATTTTTCGAAAAGTGTGCAAAATGTCGTGTATAAATATATATGGTTTAAAGGTAAAAGCAACTAATCCAAATGAAATTTAAAATTTTGAATTGAAAATTTCGACAGAGCGGGTTTAATTTGTCGGTTAACATAATTAACCAAAATAATTAATATAAATTATATTATTTATTATAAAAAACATTATTAGTATTTAATATTTTTTTATGTAATATTTTATATTATATTTTGATTAAACATATTAGTATATATGTAAATGAAGTATAATGTGCAATCTAACAGTTATTAAAGTGCAATTCGTCCAACAATATGGTGCACTGTGTTAGTATGTATTGTGCATATTGAACCAACCGAACTTTTGTCCCACTCAAATTAAAAATGAACATAATTAATTGGTTTATTTTGTTTGGTTAACCGAATTATTCTAAATTGTCCAAATAATTTGTTATTTATGTTAAAGTTATATTTAACGTGTTAATAATCTTTTTATTATTTTTATATTATTTCTGGTTAAAAAAAAAATCGAGTTCTGGTGGTTTCGTTCTCTATTCGGACGATCTTATAGTTGTGATAAAGTGCAAGTGTTATTTTATAAAGTGTTACGTAATGTTTTATAAAGTGCAACGTGTTGATGTATAAAGTGCACTACTATAAATTTGGTATGTTAGCATGATTGTGTTTTATGTGGACAAATAATGTGATGGGTGTTAAAATATTATGTAGATCCATTTTTTAATTTATGTTGTGGTATTTTAGAGTGTGGTGATAAAATTTAGATTGTTGCTTATAAAGTGCAACGTATTGTTTTATAAAGTGCGACACATTATTCTATAAAGTGCACTAGTTTATACGATCCCAGATATATTATGTATATTCAAAAACTAGTTTTAATAGATATAATTGTACATCGAATTAACTTAGATACTAAAAATACTTTATTATTTATTATGATAAATTATATTTAGTGTTAAACTTATTTAATATTTTATATTAGTGTTTGTTGAAAATAAAAAAAAAAATATATATATATATATATACATTGAAATATAAATAATTTATTTATATAATTTGGTCGGCTTTGTTATTTTATTATCTATTATCATAAAAGTATATTTAGTATTTTAATATTTTATATAGTTTTATATTATTTTTTTGGTTAAAAATAATATAATAAATATATGTATAAAAATATAAAACTAATACTTTTTATATATTCTTTGTAAATTACCAATTTCCCCTATGTGCCACATTGAAATATAATAAAAATTTTGAAATTTGCAATTGAGTCCTTGTAATTTATCAAAATTTTAAATTCAAGCCCCCCAAATCCCAACCCACATTCCCGTTCGTCCACCATAATTACAAATCTCAGAAACTGATCTTTCCACTTTCACCATCCATCTATTGTGACGCAACCACCACCGACGGCGCCCGACGGTGAGACCTTAACGGTGGTGGCCGACGGTTGGTGTATGTGAGAGGTGGCAGAATTTGATCGCGAGACCTTGACGGCTAGTAGGTCAAATTTTCCTGGAGATAGGACTGAGCCTGGAGGTCGACGGTTATCCGTTCGTCGGTGTCGGATGGTGCGTGACGGTCGACGGTCGCTATCGGACGAGGTCACCTTCACCAGAGACAAGAGCCGGCGGCCGCGTGAAGGCAATGACGGGGCTGTTTTTATTGCGGGAGAGTTAGAGAGAGTGTGTGGAGTTCGGTGGCGGTGGCAGAGATGCTTCGACGACGGCGGTGCATCAGTGTGCTCCAGCAGTGACGCAGTTTTCTGGCGGGATGATTCGGGCCAGTTTTTTGCAGGAGAGAGAGAGAGAGAGAGAGAGAGAGAGAGAGAGAGAGAGAGAGAGAGGGGTTAGGTGGTGGCGGCGGTAGCCATAGCAGGGATGCTCCAACAGTGGCGGTGCATTGTCTCCGGCAAAGGCGGGGTGCATCAGCGGGAATCTACTGGACGGCGCCGCCGTGTGATTCCGGCGAGTGTTTGTTGTGTGTGTCGTGTGCGTCTGTATTTACTGTGAGTAATGTGTGTGTGTATGTGAGAGAGAGAGAGAGATGATGAGGTGGGTGAGTGGTGACAGATGGGGGCGTGCTTGGTGGAGAATGAGAGTGTATTAATATAGGGTGGGCCCACTATTGTGGTGTACAATTGGTGTGTGAGTAAATGTCCATAATACCCATAATGATGGTATATTTTTTTCTTTTTTTAACCATTAGATGATCCTATCTAATGGCTATGATCTATTCTTATTTCTTTCACTTAGCACCATTCTCACAGAAGTGCGACCATAATATATATATATAGGGTCGCGCTCACATGAGAATTGTGCTTTGAAAGAAGTGAGAATAATAAATCGTAGCCATTAAATCGGATGATCTTATGGGTAATAAAAAAGTCAAATTTATACCTTCATTAAGGGTATATGTGTGCGATTGTGCGTGCATCTGTGTGTGTGTGTGTGTGTGAGAGAGAGAGAGAGAGAGAGAGAGAGAGAGAGAAAGGGGGTAGGTGACGAGTGGTGTGGAAAGTGTAATGTTTTAATTGGGGTGGGGCCCACTAATGTGATGGATCTTATGTGCATCTCTACACCACGGTAGCCGCCGGAGACCCCTGCTAGACCGTCGTCGCCGTCGTCTGAGAGCCATACAAATAATCAATATTTTCTGGCGACCTCTAACACACAGGTCGGCGTCTCCGTCGCCGTCGCCTCGACGTCGATGGGATGACCTCTGTGAGTCCCGATTACACGCACATGGCACTTCAAATGTTGAATCGCAGAAAGAAGGCCCCGATTCACAGGCCATTTCGGCAAAAATTCAGTGGAGACCAGACGACGCGTGATAGGCGATGCGACAGAGGAGATGGACGCCACGGTTGATTTGGTGGACGGCGGAGCTGTGGCTAAGTACGGAGGAGAGTGCGTGATTGGTGGACAGCGGCAGCGGGATGGTGGACATCCGACGGCGGGATTGAAATACGACTGACGGAGGTGTTAGGAGAGAGCGGCAGCAGATGATAATTTAACGGCGGCCAGTGGCCAGATGAAGAAGGTGACTGTGAGCTCTCCTGCCGGCACGTCGTGAGTTGTGTTGGTGTTGGTAGGGATGAAAGATAACTTGTGGTTTTGTTTGTGGTGGGACCCACTAAGTGGGTGGGTGTCAAATTATATATCTGCCCTTAGTGATATATATTTGATCACAAGATTCTATTTAATTACATTTTTTCTACCATGATTTTGACCATCTTATTCAATTTTGACTGTATCTTGACCACTGATATTATGAATCTAATGGTGTAAGATCATTCTTATTTCTTTCACTATTCCTCTTTTTCATATGATCCATTCTTATTATGAATATAATGGTTCAAATGAGAACCAAGTCTTAGTGTGAGAACCGTGAGAACGCTATGTTTAATTGTGCGTAGTGCTATGATTGATTGTGTTTGGTGTTATTTTTAACCAGGATGAATCTTATTAAAAATAGCAACACAATTTCTGTTAACATTTGTAAAAATCATAGCATCATCTGATATAAAAAATAGCATCATACAGAATTAAAAATAGCATCAAATACGGTTCTCATAGTTCTCACACCAGGACTAGTTTTTATTTGAACCAGCCCCTATATATATAAATTACTCATTTAGATCCTCCACATTACTTTGGGTCAAATTCTTTCTAATTGTCAATATAATAGACTTAGATCTTGGGTGGTTTATTTATTTAAAATAAAAAAAAATATGTGGCAAAAAAAAAGTTGTGGAAAACAATAAAACGGCCGGATTATGAAAATCCGTTTTTCTTTTTTATTTATTTTTTTTTAAAAAAAGAAAACGGTCGGATTTAAAACGGCGGATATAAGATCTACCGTATAACACGGATTTTCACAATCCGTTTTTAATAAAAAAATTTAAAAAAATATCGATTAAAACGGATTTCGAAAATCCATTTTTTGCTTGATATAAGGATCTACGGAATCCTTCCCCGAGCACACATTCTGCGTTTCTTCTTCTTATCTTCATAAACATAATCTTGTGTCTTTTGTTCGATTTTTGGCGAATTCAAGCTCTATTCAAAAATAAAATAAAAAAAAAATCAACTAATCGTCGGAGAAGAGGTTAGTTATTATTTTAATATAATGTAATATTATTTTTTTGTTGTTTATGAATGTTTAAGAGATATATTTGGTTAATTGAGTATTGTTTAGAAAATCTTGAATGTTGGTTTAATAGTTGCGTTAAATGATTATAATTTATTATTTGCTATTGTTTAGAAAATCTTGAATGTTGGTTTAATGTATGTTGAATATTTATCCGAATTGTTTACGAATTTGATGTTATTGTTGGATTATGGTGATTAGGGTTTTGGTGGTGTTTTTGATAAATTAATTAACAATTTTTTTTGTTGGAGTAAAAATATGATTAATTATATGTTGTTGTTGGAAATGAGTTTTAAATTTAGATTGGTAAAATAATAATTGAAATTTTCTCGGGTGTTTGATTAGCCATTATGTTTTGTTGTCATTTGTAAAATAGAATTTTTTTTTGTGCAACAGGTTATAAATGGCGTCTAACGGTCCCTACTTTGTTAATGTATATTGGAAAATTCCTCAGAGTGAGTTATGGAATTTTTCGAATTATATGTCTCGTCCGGATTGTTCATTTGTTATTAATGGAATAATATCATATGAACAATTGGTAGATATGATTTACGAAAATGGTGGATTTCGTGATAGTTGGACAATTTCGGATAATACTTTAATGGCCAGACAACCGAATGGTTCGTTTATTCCCGGAATACTGAATAATGATAGTGCTCTTTCATGGATTTACTACTTTACTCCTATGTCCTATGTGTTTTTGTATATAGTGTTGGAAGCAAACACACAGGTTACACAGGTTGA